TACAGGGTGAGAGAACAGAAAACTTTGCAGGCATTTTTGTTTGAGTTTTGATTTTTAGATGAATGGAGGGAAAGGACAAAGTAGTGAATTGACACTCTTAGTCATTAATCTCGAAGGAAGAGCAAAACAGTACCGTTAAAATGCCTTGTAGGAGCTCAGCTTCTGGGCAGTGTATGTTTTCAGAGATAATGTAATTACGGAGAACGAAAAGGAGAGGCTTGAATTCAGAATGACTATTTTTTAAGGAAATACCAACTTTTTTTAATAAGCACATTATTGCAGAAGCTACTTCCGTTTTTTTTTTTTTTTTAATTGTGTTTAACAACTTGAAATAGCTATTTTTTTGTTTTTCATATGCCAGCACTACTTTTCAAATATGTTTTGTAAGGTGTTTGGCACTAATGAAATTTTTAAACGTGCATTCCATGTGCCCAAAACAGTACAGTAAATGGTGGTAATGGTAGTTGTATCCCTAAAGTAGCCACAAAGCCCGCTTCACCACGCCATAGCAGAGAGGCATTGTTTCATGGGCCCTCACGTGTCAGATACGCTTTCAGCAAAAATACAGCGCGAAAATGCGTTCTTCTATGGAATAGGCCCTCCTCACCCTTTTTCCTCACGCCCTTTTCCTTCCCCCAGTACAAATACACCAAGGATGTTATACAAGAATGAGGTTCCCTTTTTAATCCAATGGACACCCATTAACATGAAGGGGAAAGTCACAATTTAGGAAGAACCTGTATAAATGTGGACTACACAGTTATCTTCTGTGGCTGAGAGGTATTTAGTTTTTTGATCCCAAGGGCTTCAGTCATTATAGGGCAAAAGCAGAAATAAGAGTGAGCAAGAGGCCTTGCCATAATTATTTCTGTGTGGTTTAAAACTTTGGTGCCAACAGAAAGCTAACAAGTTTATGAATGATCGGTATTGTTTTTTAAATCTGTGTTCGTCACTCTGAAGTGTCCCTTCACTTGGTATGCTTAGGATTGTCTAGAGTAAAGAAAGAGAAGCAAAATCAGAGAATTTAGCAAAACAAAACACACCCTCCCCAGGAATCATTGACATACTGTGATCTAACATACAGCATTCACTCACTTAATTCCTCCCTCTGACATGTACCCTGAGCTATTCCCTGGGAAATAGGATGGGTCTGCTCCTGTGGGAGTCTCCATTGCCAGGTCAGCAACGCTGAACTCCAGCCTGAGCAAAACTGTTCGCTGCCGTCCAGTCTGCTCCCACTCACGACAACTCCAGGTCGTGAATGAGAATGAGAAGCTGCCCGGTCCTGTCCCACCTTCACAGTCATTGGCCTGCTCGAGTCTGTTGCTGCAGCCTCTGTGTACTTTGAGTGCCTTCCTATGTAGGGGGCTCATCCTCCCGCACTGTTATCGGATAATATTCTGTTGTGATCCGTAGGGTTTTCACTGGCTAGTTCTCAGAAGTAGATGGCCAGACTTTTCTTCCTAGTCTTAGTCTGGAAGCTCTGCCAAAACCTGTCCACCATGGGTGACCCAGCTGGTATTTGAAATACCAGTGACATAGTTTCCAGCATCACAGCAGTACGCAAGCCCCCACAGTACAACAACTGACAGGTGGTTGGTAGGAGCAAAATTGGTTAGTATCAAAGGTTCCCCAACTGCTCCGCCTTTAGCAATGCCTGGAAATGCCTAGAAGCTTTTTTTCCAGAGAAGATTCCTATGTGAGTGTGAAAAAGGGGAAAGATTTTAATGTAATATAAAAGATGATTTTTACTTTTAGGTGAGATTCCCCTTTATGTTTTAGCTTCGGGGCCTAAGCACGTTTGTTCCAGAGCAGTTGTTGGCATTCCAGCTCCTTACAGAAGCAGAAGGGGAGGGGGTGGTCAGATCCAGATCCCATTCTTGTAGCTGCCAGCGAATCTGCACATCAGTGTTCTCACGTCATCAGCACAGCCGGCTGCCTGTCCTCTGCCTTGGCCTCTTGGAGATGGATGTTCATTCTAGCTGCAGTCAGGTGTACTTGTTACGTGGTGTGGGTGATCATGCAGTCTACCCCCGAGTTTTTATCTGGGAGGAAGGCTGAGCTGGACAGGATGCAGAAACTAAAGGCATGAATGGGGCTGTGTGGTCGCCCTGATTACAGCGTTGACCTGACGAGGCATTGACTGGGGCACCCCCGAGGACAGGAAGTACCAAGTACCAGTCTTTGTATTCCCAAGCTCAGCAGTGACTGGCACATTACAGGTGCTTAACATTTGTTGATTCCAGGAGGAGGGATTGAATTATGGGAGGATGGTATTGTATTTATCAGTAAAATAAAATGTACCTTTCTGTTTCACCACAGCTGGTAATGCCGCTGTCATCAAGTATGAGGAAAAAACGCCAAAGCCAGCATTCCAGAACGGTTCCTCGGGATCCTTATATCTGAAGCCTTTGGTACCCCGAGCTCATGTACACTTACTAAAAACTACTCTAAAAGGTATGGTCGCCACTGTGGGTAGAAGAGGGAAGACAAGCCGTTTTTAAGTCCTTGGCTTATAAGAAGTTAGTTTTTTTGTTTGTTTATTGTTTTATTTTGCAGTTTTTCTTAGTTTTATTGTACTTTAGGTGAAAGTTTACAGCTCAAGTTAATTTTTTTAATTTTATTTTTGTGCTTTAAGTAAAAGTTTACAATTCAAGTTAGTCTCTCATATAAAAATTTATACACACATTGTTATGTGACCCTAATTGCTTTCCCTATGCTGTGACAGCACACTCTCCTTTCCACCCCGGATTTCCTGTGTCCATTCAACCAGCTCCTGACCCTCTCTGCCTTCTCATCTCACCTCCGGACAGAAGCTGCCCATTAGTCTCATGTATCTACTTGAGCTAAGAAGCACACTCTTCACGAGTATCATGTTATGTCCCGTAGTCCAGTCTAATCTTTGTCTGAAGAGTTGGCCTCGGCAATGGTTTTAGTTTTGGGCTAACAGAGAGTCTGGGGGCCATGTCTTCCGGGGTCCCGCCAGTCTCAGTCAAACCATCAGTTCTGGTCGTTTTACTAGAATTTCTCATTCAAAAATGTATACACATATTGTTACGTGACATTGCTTTCAGTCCCCACAATGTGACAGCAGGCTCCCCCTTTCCACCCTGGGTTCCCTGTGTCCATTCATTCAGTACTTGTCCCTTCTGCCTTCTCATCCTGCTTTTGGACAGGAGTTGCCCATTTGGTCTCGTATATTTGATTGAACTAAGAAGCACGTTCCTCATGGTGTTATTTTTTGTTTTATAGGCCTGTCTAATCTTTGTCTGAAAACTGGGCTTCGGGAATGGTTTCAGTCCTGGGTTAGCAGAGCGTCTGGAGGCTATAGTTTTGGGGGAAGAAGTTAAATTTTTGACAATTAGATTTATGGTATATTTAACAATTATTTATAAAAAATCTATTGAAAAAGCAGATACGATAAGTTTTTATACTGAGGGAGCGGTTCCTGTTCCAAGAGTCTGTCGGTTCTAGAGTTTAAACTTGATACATATGAATCAGTAGGCAGAACAAAGGAATAAGGGGAAAAAAAACCTGGAGTTAACTCTCCTAAGATAGTGCCCTAGATTAGTGAGGTAGTAATAAAAACGTACACTTTGTTTCCCACCTGCCTAGATATTTCATGCTCATGACTATAGTTAATGTACCCGGCATATACTCCCGATGCGGTGTTTTCAGGCAGCTTTACCCCGGCAGATCCGAAGTGCATCAGAAGTTTCTTTTGCGCTTACTGAATTGAAAGATTGTTGAACTGAAAGAATAACTACAATTGAGAAACTTGACCTGTAAAGAGTGACCCGAGCTTCTAGAGAATTTGGAAAATGCAGAAACACACCAAGAGTCTTCCTTAATCCCGTCATCGCCAGTAACGCCTCCGTTTTGTTCCATTTTTTTTCCCTCCGCATATGTACATGGTTTTGTTTTTGTCTCAACGAAACTGGGGTCATAGTATGCACAGTCTCCTGTATCTGGCTTTTTATTAATGTGATAGGACCATCAGGAGACTGTCTTCGTTTTAAGTGGCTTTTGTAGTAGACGTCATTGCTTTCCAAATTTAGTTTATACTGAACAGGTTCAGACTTTTATTATCATGCGTAAATCTGAGATAAACATCTTTGAGTGTGAATCATTGCTCATTGTTTCAGGTTCTGAGTACTCCCATGGGCTACCCCTGAAAGAAGAATTGCTGGGTTAAACTGTATGAACCTTTTTGGAGTTGTTAATATGTATTACTAAATAGCTTTCCAGAAAGAAGGGGTTACTCTTACCGGCAGTAGTTCTGCATCCCCAGCAACATTTATATGTATAATACAACTTGACGTTGGTTACCTGAGAACGTTTATCAGTACTTCTTTCTCCTGAATTGAAGAGACAGTAGCTATAAATATTAGCGAAAAGATTCTTCAGTGTGTCTGGCAGGTTTTCATCTGCCCAGGCTCTTTTAAATAAATTTCTGAGACATCAAATTACCCCTTACTGGGATAACAACCAGTATGACCTGCGGTTTTTGTTGATTATGATAAAGCCCCCTTAATCCACACATCAATAACTGAAAGTAAACACTGTCAAACTTTGATATAAAGGGAACTTCTGGAGAACTAGAGGTGTCGGCTTGATAGAACTGATAGCGTGATAGAACAGGAGCTCCAGTCTGCTCAGGTGCCGCTCTACTTGGAGCTTTTGTATCGCCAAGGCTTCACTTGAGCAGGAATCAGTGTTTTCTGCTTAAAATGGCCACATATTTTAAGAGATTGTCGTCTCTAAAATTCCACAAATACAATGTAGCAGCTGTTCTAATGGGTAATCTGAAGGTGAATTTGCCCTAGAAATGACTATTCCATGTCATTTTCTTGTAGTAACTTACCTTAGTGGCTCTGTACCCGTTACTGCTCCTGGTTGCGCTTTACTTTCTGTCTGTCGGCTTGGAGAATAACGCTGAAGTATTTTTTCTTCATAGCTGAAGAGCAAATGGACTGGACTAACACTGGGCAGTTTCAGGAATCACACTCTAGTGGACGTCTTTCACAAAGTGTGGCCTCACTTTGTCAGAAGAATAGCACTAGGTGCTTAGTAAATGTGTGAATTCAGTACTACTAAAATTTGAATTTCAGCTGTTCTTGACTGAAAAAGTACTGTGTTTTGTCCTATTAAAACTGATCATACTTAATTTTTTAGAAGATGAGTTCATATCACCCTTAAGCTATCACTTCGATGTTATTTGGAGTATAATTTTAGATTTAGAATGTGCTTGATACAAATCGATTGCAACTCAATGGTGTTTCCCACCTGAAACCTAACATTTAGTGGTTATTGGAGAGTTTTTAAAATAAAACAACCCTTATTTCTAAAGTGCTTTGTTTTTGT